CCATAATAGCTCTGCCCCGAGAATCTATGCAACTACAACCCCAAAAAGTATGATGGGCGTTAAAATCGCCTGCAATCAACGGTTTTGGAATACTGTACAATAAACGATCGAACTTCGCCTTTTCAAAAGCAGAAAAACTATTACCAGGACTGTAAAAATTAACAAAGAAATGTATTTATGTTTCAGTTTAATAACAATTACTACATTTTGTAACGAATCATCATAAAAAGTATCTAGTTTAGAGAAATGTATACCATTTTTAATTAATATTGCTACGCCATTATGATCATTACCGCAGTCATTCCTAATAATGGTATAACCACGTAAATTAAATTGAATGCTAGGCTTGAGCTAAGTTTCTGAAATAAGAGCTACATGTATATTATTTTGGTATAGAACATTTTGAAACTCAAGTCTGTTACTTAACTGACTTTGAGAGTTCCACTGTACAATATTTAAGATTTGATGGTTGAATGTGACGATTTGCTATTTTTGTCCTGGATGGTTTCTGTAATAGCTGAGCTAATAAATTGTGAACTAATACTTATATTTTGAGTTTTATTTAAAGTTATAACTATTACTATAGATTTTGTTAATAGAGTCATTGCTTCAGAATTTGATAGTATTGCTTGGATTACTTCTTGGGTATTTAATTTTTTATTAAGGGAGGGAAAATTTTATGAATTTTTTAACGTGTCAGCATATGTATGACTTGGGTTTACTGTTTGCGATTTTCTTTTGCCTTATAGGGCACTGGCTAGAGATGGCAATGTGATTGCCATTACAATTATTGCACTTAGCTTTTTCAATGTTAACCTTGCATTCTTTGAAAGAATGCCCCTCTGCATATGGAGCATCGCGGTGAATTTTTACAAAACTTAGCCAGATGATCATAGCGTAAACATTTAAAACACTGTTTTATAGGTGAGACATATGTGGAGACAGGCAGGCGCCACATCTCAATGTGAACATAGTCCGGCAGTGAGGTAGCAGACGGAAAAGTTATTACTACGCTCTGAGTAGGTTGCAGTGTGAAGGTGTTATTTTCTCCTCTTACTTTACGCATTATGCGTCGGACAGAAATGATTTGTTTTGTTGTTGATATTGCTTTATATATTTTGTGATTGGATAGATGAGTGGGAACCGAAGAGATAACTCCAGATAGTTCGGTGGCCCCTGCTGGTATTGAAGCTTTAAGTAGTTGTTCTTTTAGATATGTAGTACATATTTTCTAAAAAGGCATTTGCCAAATTCGCACGTTGGAAAACAACATCGACGTTATATTTATTTATTTTTTTTAAATATTGTATACCTTTCACAGAGCGTATAAAACTATGTAGTACTAAGCGACATCATGTCCCTATTACTGAGTGGGACATCATTAGTACTTTCGACAAATACTATGAATTCAGACTTGGCTTCCGCATCTTCAGGGACAATAATCAGCGACCCTAAAGGGAGCGAAGGCATTTGCATCCTGCAATACTGGCGAATCCTCGCAATCGGAATCACTGCTTGTGCTGAAATTCAAGGACTCACCCGAATCCTTCTTTTTACGTTTTTTCACCATCTCTCCACATAAACACTTATATACAGACTAAATTTTACTTCTTTACAATAAACTAAACAAAAATATGCTAATTATGGTATAAAACTATATAAAATAATTAAAATTTTCAAAAAGCCCGCGTCAACGTTTCAATTCCCGCGCTCTTTTTTCCGACCTTCCCTTTATCAATAAATTTATTACCATTTTCTTATACTATTTTTATAAATGCTTTTACTGGTCTGGACACGAGTCCTTTTGATCTTGACCATTTTCTTATAGCGATCGGTGTTGCTAGGATAAAGTAATTTTCTTATGAATTATATAAACACAAATAGACTTTAATTATTATCTAAATCTATTAACTAAATCTGTTAATTATAATGGAGACATTAAGGAGCTACAGATACTGTATAGAGAGATTTTGTCCATTGTTTATAAATTAACAGTATAAACAATCAATATGCCAAATAACAATATATCTTAATAATAACTAATTCGGTAGTCGTTGTTTTTTTTATTTTGGCTCACGGGTAAGAGTTATTAATTATTTAAACAATCTTAAACCTATAGTTAATATTTATAGGAAGTTTCTAATGAAACACGTTTAAAAATTTCCAGCTGTCGTCTTATAATAATGCTTTATAACTTCACTATTTATGTATTAAAAAAAATAATATACAAACATTAATGTACAATAAATAAACTTTAATTATAAATATCCTGATATATTATATAGTATATTATTGTGGTGAACGCGTGGTAACATATATAACAATGTATACTTAAACAATACAGTTGACCATTTGAAGGAGCACAATATGTAAATCATATCACCTTATTAAATTTTATTTTTCACACAAACTTTGTATTTAATAGTTAAATTTTTCATAAGAAAAGTCAATATCTATCGGCTGTTTCTTCTAAATATAATAAATAGACAAGGAATGAGCATGTCATCATTGATTGACACCTGTTGATAATTTTTAGAAAACTGATATAAAATATACCTATAATATATATTAAATACTTGTACATATACATTAAGACTTTGTTTACTCTCAAATTTCTTTGCGTATCACAAACTTATTCCGTGAACAATTGAAAGTTTAAAATTTACTAGAGCTGATTTGTCGAGACTAACTGTAACAGGAAAAAATAATTGTACGTGGAGTCCCTTGAAAGAATTGAAACTTCGTAATGTTAGTATGAAAACAGGAAGGGGAAGAAAATTTTTTTTAAAAATATTTAAATTTTATATCTAAGTTTATAAATCAATCATACTTGCTTACAAATGTTATTATTTTATTGTACTAGACAGTTCTATACTGTATTAAAAATGAATTCAAGAATTTTTGATGTATATTATTATATTGAAGGAAATGAAACCAACACAATCTGAATCATTATAAAATCTCTATGTGCCCTACTAGTTATATAGATACCTTACGTACTTAAGCTGCAAAAATCTATAAAACATCTTGAAAGAAATAAAAGTTCTTGTAATTGGCTTTAATGTATAAGAAATGACATTATGTCGTCTTACGTTTTTCTACACAAATGTATTTTCATAATTAATTTGGCGGGAATACAGTGTATTGTCAAGTTTGACAGTTCGATGTGACGTCACTAACAGGAACAGTAAAAAATAATTTAAGATTTGTATCAGAATAAATAAAAATTGATAAACGGTTTGATACACACTTACATACCCTTAAACAATTAGATGTTAGTTAGTAGACAAATGGAAAGGATGACCTGATGTCTGACTTTCATGTTTTATTTAAAAGTAATCTTACATCTTACATTGCTGATAAATTTCATTTTATTCCGAAGATTTTTAAATATAAGTTGTATATAATATGTGTTATTTAAAACTTTTCTTTTTCATCTTCCAAAACCGTTCTCCCAATTATTTGAGGTCAACCTACCTTGCCATGCGTTTCTATAAAAGGAGATTTAATAAAAAAACTTTTATCTCTTCAAGTTATTTTTATCTGTCGGATGAATCACATGTATATATATGTACATTGGAAACATCGCGTGTACGGTGTAGCATCATTTTATGACACAATATAACTAATTTGTACATGTCCTTTGCCTACTCTTACAACTATTTAAGGAAAACAATAATGTTATAGTATATGGAGTGTGCCCTAGATTATAAGTTAGATAACCTTATTTATAGAATTACTTGATATGTCTTTATAAGGCGTTTTATAAATGAAACACCTTTTAAGTTACCGCTTGTGTTTCTCTGATGTACTTCTTTAAGTATCCATTTAATGTTATATACTTTTTTTATATTTTTTTATCTCATATTTATAATTTATATCATCTTGGATTATTCGTTATTATATAAATATTGTTTTTTTTTCTTAAAATTTTCATCATTTTCACAAGTAAAACATTCAGTACTAACACAAAACTTTTAATAAGAATTATGTAAATTCTTACGATGTCATTCAATATTTAAAGATAAGGGTCTCAAAAATGGTAATGTATATAACGTCTTATTTATATGTGATATATGTATTTATATCATTTTTCAGTTATATTATTTATTTTATAACTAGCTTTCGAGTTAGAGTTCGGTTATTTCTTTCGGTTATACTTTCAAGTCTGGAATAAAAACTATCCTATGTTCTTTCTCAAGGTCAGCTCTGTCTCTGTATCAAATTTCATTAAAATCAGTTCAGTGGTTTAGGCGTGAAAACGTAACAGACAGACAGACAGAGTTACTTTCGCATTTATAATATTAGTAGGGATGTAGGAGTTCATAATCATGGTAAAAAATAATATGTGTATTAAATAAACAAAACATATTTGTTGTTTAGCGCGAATTTTATTTTAGTTATTTGGTTCGCACTTTTTTGTGACAAAGTTTGTATACTTGCTTGTTGTAAAAGCGATATTAATGATGTCTCAACTCGTAAGCCATTATCAGTCTCCTTTTTGTTATAAAGATATGTGATTTCGGTTTTATTAGTCATATAGGTACTGAAAAAAGTCACTTGACTTAAAACAACTATGTGTGGGTGGATGTTTGTTATCTTTGAAGAGTAGATCAAATATAGTATAATGTTTTTGTGATTAGAAACTGAGCTCTATTAGTCTCAAATTATTGTTAAAATTCAGTTACTAATTATCAAAATCGTACAAGTAAAGAAAAGTCATAACTGTACCTACTAGTATTTGAATATCTTTTAATTCGACTCTTAAAATATGATTGATAAATCATCATTGATATTTATAATATTTTAAATGTAAAATAAAACAACGAAGCATAAGTTTAATTTTTATTTATTTTATTCAGGTACATTACATAACATAATTTATTAATATCGTAAAATAATAAATTAACTTAATTCAACAGATGATCACGCGAGAGGTTCACAATAAATATCAGTCTTAGTTTCCACCTAGTTCACCTAGTATGTATAACTCTAGTAGCCTAGTCGACCTCCTCGACGGTGGGTCCGTTCCCTCTGGCAGCCCCCGCCCCCGCAGCCCCCGCCGCGCCCTGCCCCGCGCCGTGCAGCTTGCTCATGAGCGGCGAGCAGGCCGCCTGCAGCTCCCTCAGCCGGTGCTCGTACTCCTCCCTGTCGGCCAGCGTGTTGTTGTCCAGCCAGCGCAGCGCCTCGTCGCACGCGCTCCTCGCGGCGCCCTTGTCTCCGTCGCTCAGCTTGTCCCCGGCCTCCTCCACGGCCTGCTTCACACTGAACACGTACGCCTCCAGCTGGTTCCTGGCGCCCACCCTCTGCCTCTGCCGCTCGTCCTCCTCCTTGTACCGCTCCGCCTCCGCCAGCATCCTCTGGATCTCGCTCTGCGACAGCCGGCCCTTGTCGTTCTTGATCACGATGTTCTTGCTGCGGCCCGTGCTGCTCTCCTTGGCCGACACGTTCAGGATGCCGTTGGCGTCCAGGTCGAAGGTCACGTCTATCTTGGGCACTCCGCGCGGCGCCGGCGGGATGCCCGTCAGGTCGAACGTGCCCAGGAGGTTGTTGTCCTTCGTCATCGCTCGCTCGCCCTCGTACACCTGGATGGTCACGGCCGGCTGGTTGTCCGAGTACGTGGTGAAGGTCTGCGACTGCTTGCAGGGGATCTTGCAGTTGCGTTCTATGATCTTGGTCATCACTCCTCCGGCCGTCTCGATGCCCAGAGACAGCGGCGCCACGTCCACGAGCAGCACGTCCTGGATCTTCGAGTCGCTCTCTCCGCCCAGGATGGCCGCCTGCACCGCCGCGCCGTAGGCCACCGCCTCGTCCGGGTTGATGGACAGGTTGAGCTTCTTGCCGCAGAAGAAGTTCTGCAGCAGGCTCTGCACCTTCGGGATGCGAGTCGACCCGCCCACGAGCACCACGTCGTGGATCTGGCTCTTGTCCATCTTGGCGTCCTTCAGAGCCTTCTCCACCGGCTCCAGCGTGCCGCGGAACAGGTCGGAGTTGAGCTCCTCGAACCTGGCGCGCGAGACCCGGGTGTAGAAGTCGATGCCCTCGTACAGAGCGTCTATTTCGATGGTCGCCTCGCTGCTGGAGGACAGCGTCCTCTTGGCGCGCTCGGCGGCCGTGCGGAGGCGTCTCAGCGCGCGAGGGTTGGATCGAAGGTCTTTCTTGTACTTTCTCACAAATTCTTCAGCGAAATGATTCACCAGCCTGTTGTCGAAGTCCTCTCCTCCCAGATGCGTGTCTCCAGCGGTGGCCTTCACCTCGAACAGCGAGCCCTCGTCGATGGTCAGGATGGACACGTCGAAGGTGCCGCCGCCCAGGTCGAAGATCAACACGTTCCGTTCTCCTTTGAGGTTCTTGTCCAGGCCGTAGGCGAGTGCGGCGGCTGTGGGCTCGTTGATGATGCGGAGCACGTTCAGGCCTGCGATCGCTCCGGCATCCTTGGTCGCCTGGCGCTGGGAGTCGTTGAAGTAGGCCGGGACCGTGACTACGGCGTCGCGGACCGTGGTGCCGAGGTACGCCTCCGCGGTCTCCTTCATCTTGACCAGCACCATGCTGCTGATCTCCTCGGGCGCGAACCTCTTCGTCTCGCCCTTGAACTCCACTTGTATTTTCGGTTTGCTACAGTCGTTGACCACTTTGAAGGGCCAGTGCTTCATGTCGGCTTGTATCTTAGGGTCGTCGAATTTGCGGCCGATTAACCTTTTCGCATCGAAGACTGTGTTGTTGGGGTTCAGGGCCACCTGGTTCTTAGCAGCGTCGCCGATCAGTCTCTCCGTATCCGTGAAGGCCACGTAGGATGGAGTCGTCCTGTTGCCTTGGTCGTTTGCGATGATTTCCACATTCCCATGTTGCCAAACACCAACGCAGGAGTAAGTTGTACCGAGATCAATTCCAATAGCGGGCATGATTTCTTTAATTTCTTCACTTATCAATAACACTCAATAAATACACTCTCGATGAAATGCAATAACACTTGCAAAACTTCGCTTCGGTCGTACCGAACTCTTCTTCTTCACTGTTTCGTATTTCAAATTATACTGAGTATACGCGCCAAGCCAAGCCCTTATATATGAAATGAATAAGACTCGAGATTATTCTACACTGTACTAGAACGCACCAATGAGGTTCATGGAAGATTCTAGAATGTTATGGAATTACCAATAGCAGCTTCAAACGTTTTACGTAAAGGAGATAGAAGTATATGCCATCTCAATTTAGTGTTGCATCCATTTAAATATTTCCCCAGTATATTGAAGCTCCAGACAGTCTCAAGCAAAAAGTTACTTGTATATTATGTAATTAATTTATTGATTGTTGTATATCTGTTTATAGTAAAATTACTTAATAAAAATATATAGACGTATTTTGTTGGTGTTAATTGTTACGAAAATTATTTTTATCTTAAATATTAATAGAACATAATTTTATATTTATAGACCAGTGCCGATAGCTTTTAAAACATAATTAAATTATAGTAGGGAGACTCATTAGAAAAGGAGGAAAATATTATAAAAATTAAAGGAAAAATAATTTACGGGCGATCTGAGGTCGGGAAGGGTATGGGAGTGGGTATTTAAACTAAAGTCCTACGGAAAAATGTTATACGGCAAAGTTGTAAGTAATAAAAAGATCTAAAACTTTTGTAGTAACATGTTTTTCACATAACCTCAAAATTTATGTGAAATATTCGAAAAACCAAGTTTTTGGTTTTTTATTGATATTTAATAGTTGTGCACTCTGGAAGTTCTCCAGATAGTGCCTCATTTAGGTAATTTACAGAAAATTGACATTAAGCTGCTAAAATTATTAAAACTAAATTGAAAGAGCATTTTCTAAACGGTATCGAGTGTCATTTCATTAAAAGGGACATGATTATTTTAACCAAAAATGGTACTGTAAGTAAGAAACTTATATTTTTTTCTTCACCATCGGAAAATAGAGATTTCAACAAATAGTAAACATACCAAATTTTTGAAAATAGCTGATATTTTGACGGGTGATTTTTCGATTGAGAAATGAGGCTGATTATTCGGTAATTATTGAAAATAAGCTGAAAAAGTAATTATTTCTGTATCAAATAAATTACAGTGCATTTGTAATATCCAAACTGAAAGTTTTCACAAAATTTGTGTCAAAATATTCTTTTTTGTAAGAAATGAAAATAAAAAACCAAAAACTTGGTTTTTCGAATATTTCACATAAATTTTGAGGTTATGTGAAAAACATGTTACTACAAAAGTTTTAGATCTTTTTATTACTTACAACTTTGCCGTATAACATTTTTCCGTAGGACTTTAGTTTTGCCGGAAATAAAGAAAACCCACTTTTTACCCTTAAATACCCACCCCCATACCCTTCCCGACCTCAGATCGCCCGTAAATTATTTTTCCTTTAATTTTTATAATATTCCCCTCCTTTTCTAATAGGTTTCATTCTACTATAATTTATTTTCACTTTTCATTAATTTTAAAGGCTTCTCCACTGGCCTATTAATGAAATGAGTATATTTTTGATTTTTACCATTTATAAATTGGTAAGAAAGGTTACTTTAGAATGTTTAACGGGCAACATTATGGAAAGCTCTGGTAATTTTTAACTGCGTAGAAAGAGATAGTGAATATAGTAGACTTTTCGAGATTATTGACTGAACTACTCCCCACTAGATGGCGCTGTTATAAAGTGAATTAGTATTTATTTGTACATATTTAATATGAATTCGATGTTTTAATATAATTTGTTAATCAGGTAAGTTTTAAAGTAAGCAATTGTGTTAATAAAAACAATTATTATAAAAAATACTTAGTGAATTTAAGCTTACATATACACTTGTTTTAAAGATAAATTATTTTACATATAAAATAGGTAGTGATGTTTTAATTAAATTAAATCAAATTTTTATATTTATTATGAAATTAAATTATTCATAATTGGAAAGATTGTGGTGTTTACTGATATTAATTTTTAAATTTTAGTTAAATATTATAGGTATGCAAAATTTATTAGTATGTACAAACTACAAGGTAAATTATTATGGCTAACTACATTTAGTACGTAATCTTAATTTCCCTTTTAAACTATATTATTGCTACTTAAATATTAATTATAAAGTATTTTTATAATATCTTATAATGTGTGTCTATAAATTAATTGATCATCACAAAAATATTTTTGTTTTACACCAGTAGTCGTCAAGGACTCAAAATCTCAAGATTAGGGGTTTCAAACAAAATGAAAAACTAGCTTTGAAATATAGCGATATATATTTATGTATTGACAATTTATTCTGGTAGTTCGTTAGCCAGGTGAAAATTGGGTTAATTATTTCTTCTCGATAGATAATTGGTGATACACATCAGACAATCCCTACTAATATTATAAATGCGGAAGTAACTCTGTCTGTCTGTTACGCTTTCACGTCTAAACCACTGAACTGATTTTAATGAAATTTGGTACAGACATAGAGTTGACCTTGAGGAAGGACATAGGATAGTTTTTATCCCAGACTTTTGAAAAGTTCTCTTGGAAACGCGATATAACCGCACTCCACGCGGATGAAGCCGCGGGCGGAAAGCTAGTAGTATCATAAAGCCTTGTGACAATATAAAAATAAAAATTGTTACATTCACTCATTTCCTCTCGCCTAAAAGTGTATCAAGTTATACTCGTAGCCAACCCAGTATCTCAACAGAAAAACATAATCAGCTGGCTATAACATACTGCATTGTACGTCAGCTGATGTCTCGATAATGGAATATTTGTTTCACATCAATATTTGAGTGCTATGCCGATTGCCGAATAATTAAAGAGACGCCATTTCCTCCCACTGAAAATTTGTGAGCTGATTTTAAATATACTTCTGTGATAAATGAAAAAAATCTCAGCTCAGTTGGTCAGTTGATGCCTTTTAATAGTTAGTAAATGCTTCTGGATAACTCCTACGCAACGTTCAAAGTATCAGCTGACGATTTTTCCACCGAGATACAGCCAGCTGACGTATATATTTATCAATAGTTACATATGAGCTAACATGAGGTAAATTTTTATCGAGACATCAGCTGACGTACAATGCATTATGTTATAGCCAGCTGATTATGTTTTTCTACTGAGATATTGGGTTAGCTATAACTTGACAAATTTTTAGCACAAAGGAAATGAGTGAATGTAATATTTTTTTACAAGCGTGGGAGGTTACAACTGATCACCCCCCTCCCCCCGTATAGTTCGATTTTCTGATGTATTTAATTAACAATCACTTGAGAGGAACTTAATCATATAAATCTGTTACTAGCTCTCGGGCTATAGATGGCGCAACGCTTTATAATGTTATATATAGATTGTTTAATATTTTGTTAGAAATTAAATTATCATACACATATAAACGCAATAAACCTTATTACCTATATAGTAATAATTGATTTGAACGAATCGACCATAGACAACACATGTATAATCATTTCATATTCAACCTCCTTTCTATATTTTATGAACGAAGCAAACAAAGTGATTATAATAATTAATTTATACAAAAATATCATAATACACAGCAGCATGACATTACATCGATTATCGCGATTGTCTTTATAATAACTGTTATCAGATTACCGCAATCTAATCTTTTTACAACACATAATTGACAACAGCGGCGGGAGACGGTCGTCCGCCATGTTGGAGTAGATTAAAAAACAATATGGCTAAACAAGTTAGTTGTGTGCCGTTTTTGAGGCAGGTGAGTTTAATAAATTTAAACATATATTAATTTAAATTTATTTAAATCTTTCAATTAAAAATATGTTTTAACTTTTTTGGTATATCATAATATTATTTGACAAAATATTTTAATATGTAAAGTATAGAAATACTTATTTAAATCCCATATATTATAATAATAATATATTTTCATAATGACATAATAGTTAATACCTCTTGAATCGCCTTTCGCTAGATTGATTAATGGATACTTAAAACAAATATGTTTTTCTCATACATTATATCTGTACACAGATTAAAAGTCCTTGTAAATGTCAAATTATATGACTAATAACTTTTTTTAAATTATGCAAATAATGAAATGACATTCGTTGTAAAATTTATTGACATCAAATTATATTATTACATGTTTGAGAGGAAAATAAATAGAATATTATAAAAACATCACAATTTTTAGTACAGAACATATATATATATATATATATATATATATATATATATATTCTTTTAAACTGGAATTGTGGGATATTTTTAGGCTAGATCGTTATGCCTCATAAAATTGTATCTGTCAAAAATAATGAAAAGTTTTATTTAAATTTAAGAAATGTTTAACATTTCATATAGGTAGATGTATTTTATATATTTTAAGGCGAATTATGTTATAGAGATGAAATTCTAATTATCAAGATAATTTTTTTTTAACTTGCGATTGTATCCAAGCAGTCACAGATAAAAAACTAGTAATAAATGTTTTTAAATCATGATGAGTATCAGGTTAATTCAAAAATTTTGCACGTACCATTTTAACATAGACGCTATTTTAAGAATTAGCGATGCCATGTTATGTTTCCTTGAAAAATTAGTTCGAATACTGTAAATGGAATGATAAATATTTGAAAAAACAAAACGTAAGATATGGGAAAATAACAAAGGATTTTTTTAAATTAATTTTATCTTAAGTCACTTTATTTTATTTTCATTATTACTTTAATTAACAAATGATTGAGAATTATGAAAGCGATAGCCGTATGTAGCAAGAAAAACATAAAAATTGGCTCTTTATTATTAAAAATTTTACATCTCAATCGAGTTTCAACTGTAATTTCAAACTTAATTTTTATTTTGTTAATATATTATTTTTCGTTTGTTTTAATTTTATTCATATTTGTCCAAAGTCGTATAGGGAACACTAAATATATTATTATAATATTTAGAAGTACATATTTTACAAATATTATTAGAATGCGAACGTTTTTTTTTTTGAAATATGTACCTACTTTGATTTTTGTATAATTCTTTAGATTTAATGATATGATGATTCAACAAAAATATTAAAAAAAAACTTTAAACTTAATAGTTATATATAAAAATATAGTCTTGAGTGACGTTTTCTTTGAAACTTTTTTTCGTTACTTTTCAATATGAAATAAGTATATTAAAATAAATATATATATGTATCTATAAATTATACACCCGATGTCAATTGTCATGTTATTATGATTTTCTATTAGCACAGAAATTTATTATAGTATACATATATAATAATAAGGCGACCTCGATTATTTTACTATTTTTTTTTATAATTACGTATTTTTTCGTAATCAGATGTCGTTTATCGATTTTGCAAATACCAATCGCATTGATAAAATGATGATTTATTTTCAACTTAGTAACGTCTATCTTACTATTATGTATGTGATATTTGAACGTCAAAATATATATACTAGTTTTTGTCCGCGACTTCGTCCGCGTTAATTTCGGAATTAGTACTTAATAATATATGTTTAGCTGAAAGGACGAACTCTATTCCGACCTAGAGGTCATAAATAATTAGATATTGGAATTTATTAATTGTTTCCTTTTTCTGTCGAACAGAATTTAATATCCTATGTCCGTCTCCTAGTTCTAAGCTATCTCCCCGCCAATTTTCAACCATATCCCTACAGCCGTTTTTGAGTTATAAATAGTGTAACTAACACGACTTTCTTTTATACAATATATTTATAAGATATAATGACTTCGTAAAAAATGTTTTTATTAAATGTACCTAATTACAACCAGTTGTTAAAGTGTTTAAATAAATATCTTTATAAAATTTATTTCGGGAGACATATAATGCATTCCCAAAGAGGGTTGATGTCAGTCAGGCGGCCGGTCGTGAAAACAATTAGTCAAAACTCTTCACAACAAGTAAGGCAGACCCTGGCTAAAGCTGGGAAATTGCCAGCTAGAAGTAGAAGACATATAATGTAAAAGATTTTTTATAATTGCTATATAACCTTCATCTTTAAAAAGCAATAGATAAGTTATCACAAGTTTGATCGTATGTTACTGTAGACGTTTCAACCTTCTACGATTTGATTGCTGATAATGATTCGCCTATATTAATATTGGATTAAAATATTCTGAAATCAATTACTCAATTGTTTTACTTTAATATAATATACAAAGTGGTAAAGCAGTATTTAAATGAAACTAATATTTTTCGGATTATACTACGCGTATTATATAGAGGGTTGATGTCAGGCAGGCGGCCGGTTGTAAAAACAATTAGTCAAAACTATTCACAACATGTTAGGCAGACCCTGGCTAAAGCTGGGAAATTGCCAGGAAGAAGAGAAAAAGACTACGCGTATTTTATAATTGTAAAAACTACATAATCCCGACGTTCCGGTTGCTGAAATGTAAATCACTCTAAAGTCTTTGATCTCATTATGGTTATGAAGTATTTTATACTTTGAATGAATCTAAGACTACGCGACTGTTGCCAGAAGCCGTATTTAGCTTATAAATCAGTAGTTACTGATTCTTTGGGAGATTTTAACGCTGCTATTGTAAGCGGCAACTCTGTTTCATATTATAAACCTCTGTCTGAACTGATATAGAAGACATTTGTTCATGTAATAACTAATTTGCAGATCTATTCTTAAATCAGGATAGGTTAAAAATTGTCTCTGAAAAGATCTCCTTGAATGTAAGAAGACATGTTTGTGGGAAAACAACTAAAACTTGTTTCTATCCCTACTAATATTATAAATGCGAAAGTAACTCTGTCTGTCTGTCTGTCTGTCTGTCTGTCTGCTACGCTTTCACGCCTAAACCACTGAACTGATTTTAATGAAATTCGGTACAGAGATAGAGTTGACCTTGAGAAAGAACATAGGATAGTTTTTATCCCAGACTTTTGAAAGGTTCTCTTGGAAACGCGATATAACCGAACTCCACGCGGCGAAGCTGCGGGCGGAAAGCTAGTATTAAATAATTGTTGAAAGGCGAATTTTGATTTTCTATAAATATCAGTGAGAATGACTCATTCACAAAATAATAATAATAATACATAAAATGTCAATAAAAATAATGATACATAAATTCTCAAAATATAATAATAATAATAATTAATTAATTCATTTGTAAATTAGTAAATTAATTTATTGAAGTTATTTAGATGTTTAAAAAAATGTGTAAAGTAAGTACTTTAGACTGATACACAGTGCTAATGAATCTTCTATAAGTGATATCGAGAATAGTCTGTTCGTAATTAAGCTAAAATTTCCCTTTTTCTATACTTTATATATTTTTATCGTTTATTGTATTATGTTTAGTTACAAAATAATGTCATTACAATTGAGTATTGAGATAATATAACGCTGTACACGGATTTACCTTCATATGTTGTTAAAAGCGATAAACTTGAAGAGCATCACAAATAATACAATACTGTCATTAATACATATATTGACACAATTAGATATTATTGAGAGAAATATATAGGAATGAGAGATTTAGTTAGTATTCATAAAATTAATGGATGTTTTGTATAATTTACGAAACAATTGTTTAATAGATAATTGTCATGTTTTAAATCATTATTGAACTAATTTCTTGAAATAAAACTAATTTTTTTTAATGTTACGCGTTTACGTAAACGTGTAGAAAAATATTAGTTTTATTTGAATAAATACTCACGAATTTAGAAAAATAAAGTCGAGTAGTAAGTCCGAAAAATATTAAGTTATTTCATTTAGATATAGTTACTTAAATTTCTTATTTAAGACGTCGTATCATACAAAATATTAATCTATACTATGTATAAGTCAGCAAGATTCCTAGTATTCCTCATACATCTAGTATTCCTCATACATCTAGTATTCCTCATACATCTAGTATTCCTCATACATCTAGTATTCCTCATACATCTAGTATTCCTCATATATCTAGTATTCCTTCTTATCATAGAACTCTCTTTATAATTCCAGTGTTTCCTCACAGCGAGCGTGGCCATCAATATCGTGGGTCACGGCAGCGTCATCGGCTTCTCAGCAATCCTCATACCAAGTCTACGCCGACCAGAGTCCCACGTACAAGCTACACCCAGTCAAGAATCATGGATAGGTAGGTTCATGAATAACAAGATAATGGAACTAATATTATCGGAATACTACGCGTATATCACATCTTGTTTTCGTGATCATGGTTGCTGAAACGTAACCGAAACGTATTGAGTATGTAGTTTAAATAATAAATAATGCGTAGTAATAGACAATATTAGTTTCATTTAAATGAATTATCGTGAGTTTTAGATCTCATTTTATATTATGATTTTGGTTACTGTAATCGGATGTTAAATTGGTATTAATTGGAAATTAACTTGTTGGTATATATATGTTTGAATGCTAAATAATTGTTTCTCGTGAATATAAGGAAAATATAATTCCTCCTTATTGTACATATATAGTCAATGTTTTAAACTTCAAAAAACGTTAATAAATTTGAAACTATTACAAAAATGCTGTTGTTAACTGTTAAATCGAAATCAATCAAAAATATATTTTAATCACTGAATATATTGATTTATTTCACTGTTAATTATTACAAATTTTTAATAACTTTTCTTTTTATAACTTTCCAGCGGCGATCATAGGCTTCGCGTTGATAGCGGGCAACTTCATCATTACTCCACTGATGGACACTTTAGGCAGAAAGAAATGCCACTTGATGACTATCCTGCCGGTTCTGACTGGCTGGTTCCTATTGCTGTTGGTGAACAATGTAGCTGGTATCATTACCGCGCGATTTCTTCAAGGAGTAGCAATGGGCATGCTTGGACCTCTGGGGTCTATCATCATCGGAGAAATGACAGACCCCAAGAATAGAGGAGCGTTTTTAACAAGCGTCTCCCTATCACTCACGATTGGAGTGCTATCAACGCATACCATGGGATCGTTCTTGAGTTGGCAACAGAATGCCTTAGTATGTTCCTTTATAACCTTCACAAGTCTTCTTTTAATTATTTACAGTCCAGAATCACCCGCGTGGTTGATAGCTAAGGGCAGGATTAAAGAAGGAGAGGAGATATTCTTCTGGATAAGAGGAAGAGATCCCGACCAAGAAGCAGAATTTGAGAAGATGGTTGAAGCGCAAACTATGAAGAGGAAATCTAGTGTAATAGGCCAAGAATTATCCTTCAAGATAAAGGTCAGACGGTTTTTCGCGTATCTGAAGGAAACTTCAAAGAAACCGGAGTTCTATAAGCCTATTATCATAATGTTTCTTCTCTATACTATGTTTCAATTCGCTGGTATCAATGTTATAAGTTCTTACGCGACGGATATCATCCATACAGTTGTTGGTCCGGACGCAGATGCTAAGTTTTTGATGGTCATGTTGGATGTTGAGCGACTTATTTGTAATATTATCGCTGTGTTCTTCATGAAGACTTTAAAGCGTAGAACTTTATTGTTCTGTAGCGGCGCGGTCTGTGTGTTGTCATATATTGGGAAGAGCGCTTATGTTTTCGCCAAGCAATCAGACATGTTGCCGTTCGATAATAAATGGATTCCTATCACTTTGATTGGATTGTACATGTGTTCTTTGACTGTTGGTATATCGTCTATACCGTTTGCGGTGTCTGGAGAGATATTCCCATTGGAATACAGAGGATTGGGCGGAGGAATTAGTGTTTTAGCTCTGTCATTAAACTTCTTTGTATCGGTTAAATCTTTCCCAGTTTTAGCCAACGCGATAGGACTACCTATAACGTATTTGATGTACGCCGGTGTAGTAGTGTTATGTTTAATAGTAATTTACTTTATGATGCCAGAAACTAAAGATAGAACTCTTCAAGAGATTGAAGATAGCTTCAAAGGTTACTCTCCAGCCGACCAGAAAAGTGCTGAACCATTGAATGGACCAACCAATGGAGAAATGAGACGATGCAGTTCTCACATACTGTATTAAAACAAATATTATAGTGTTGTGAATATACAAGGACTTTATTTAAAAGTTAGAAATAAATTTAGTGTTAATCTCAGTATATTGTTGTGATCAAATAAAAGTCAAATTTTTTTAGAGTATTTTATTAGAATTTTATAATTTATCCTATATTTTACAATCCAGATAGTTTTTCACAATAATAATGATGACTATCTCTTGTCTGATATACAAAGCGTCAATTATTTATTCTCCTATGTCTTAACTACTTGGCCAACTCTGTAGTTGGAAGGCGTTTCCTATTTCTTCTATTTCTTTCCTCAACCTTCTTCCACTTTCTCCAACATTCTGTCTTTTTCTTCGACATCACCTTTCGTATCCTTGACGCCTTTGAAATGACATTCGATCTCATACAAAGTCTTGCCCTTCGTTTCTGGCAGGAGGTAGTAGAGAAATACGCCACATAGAGCAATACTGAGGCCATAAAGACAGAATGTACCCTTGACGCCGATTTGTCTGAATGATGTTGGGGCTGTTTTAACGACGACGAAAAACATGAGAGAGAGAAACATACCTGATATACCACTGCCAAGAGATCTATAAGCTAACGGGAATATTTCACCGGCTATTGCCCAGGGAATAGGAAGAATACCTATCGTCTTACCAAATATATAAACCAGAGTTGGTATTACAGGAACCCATTTACACTTTTCGGGTAAATATCCGAAGTCTCTCACGTACAATAGAATAGATGTCAGTAATAATGAGATCACACTAACATTTATGCCAAAAAATAATACGGTTCTTCGATTAAATTTATTGACCACCACACAAGATAGGACGGCTGTAGCGAACCTAACTATATCTACCATTAGCATACTAGTGTAAGGCTCTATACGATTATCAGTGACCTCCTTCATCATTGGAACAGTATAAGATGGTACCACCGTCATACCAGAAATTTGAAACAATACAAACATAAACATCATTATAACGGTAGGTTTATAAAAACTCGGCGACATAACTATATTCATATAATACTTGATCTTTGATACTTTAGGTAACACAATAGTCTTCTTCTTCTGACTATTGAGCATGACTTCCAATTCTCTTTCCGATTCGTCGTCATCGCCTCTGAACCACCGAAATGTTTTGCGGCATTCATCAAACTTGCCGATTGATGCTAAATACGGTGGAGTTTCTGGTGTTAATGATATGAGAATCAGAGATAGGACGTAGCAGCTGCCACAAGCCAGGGCCGCTTGGCGCCAGAATAGGATTGAACCGAAGATATGGGCTACCAACATTCCAGTGGCGAAGGAAAATGCTATCGTGGCGAGGAATGCTCCTCTATGTTTTGGCGCTGAATACTCCGCGATGGATATAGGAGCTGCTGCGGCCTGAACACCCATACCGAAACCCTGGAATAATCACATTATTTATATTATTTAATGAATATAATAATTTTTAAAACTACATACTCTCCACGTTTCAGTTACTTTGAAGCAACCGGGATCACGGACAAACGAGATGTAGTTTTTAAAAATAAGAAAATAAAGAGTACATAGAAATCAGAAACTAATACTTTCATTTAAATAATTACTCGCGATAGTCTTAGATCATATTTATAGACAATCAAAGAATCACCCTACAAATCAATCATTTTACTTGTTTAAAAATATTCTATGAGTATTTTATTGATATTTGAATATTATAAAATTGAATAAATAAATAATGAGGTAATTATAATGGCGAGAAATTAAAACCAATATTATTCATTAAGATAGAAAAGTTATTTATCTAGTTAGACAAAATATTTTTAATTTATTTATTTGAGGATCCCCAACAAATGATACACAGAATACAATTTTAGACTAATCAATACTAAATATTACAGAAATTGTGCTATTTCAATTACAGGAGATCACAGCTTGCTAATTAAATATGACTAAGCAAAACAATATGAAGTTAAAGTTAAAAATATTTAAAAAACAAAAATATTAAAAACTATAATTATATATAAATAATTGTATATATATATTATTTCTTTAGGATATATATTTTAAATCGAATGAATAAAATTTTAGAAACTATTATGACCTTATTAAAATGGAATTGTCAATTCGACGAAAACACCGTTTACAGTTCATAGATGTCGCTACGTATTGAGTAAAATTATACAAAAAAGTGTACTTGGATAAAAAAAACATAATAATCAATGAACAAACAAACAATTTAATATTATTGTTACATGTTTTAATGAGGACGAAGTAAACAAAATGATTATCGATGTGGCCGGTCAAGTGATGCATGTGATTGGAGCGAGGCTGTTCTCATTGATATTATATTACGATCATATGAACTATCAACTATACAATCATTATGAGATCTAAGACTTGCTATTTATTTAAATTAAACTAATATTTCTCGTATTACTACGTGTATTTTTTAAATACATACTGAGATTCATATCCCGTTTCCGTGTTCACGGTTGCTTCAAAGTAATCGAAACGTCGGGAGTATCCTACTAATATTATAATTGCGAAAGTTTGAGTGTGCGTGTATGTTTGTTACTTCTTCACGCTCAAACGGCTGAACCGATTTTGATAAAACTTTGTATACAGGAAGCTGACGTCCAGGAATAACACATAGGCTACTTTACATCCCGAAAATCCGCGGGTAACACAGCGGGGCGTAGCTAGTATATTATATTTATTAAAATACTGAATGAGGCCTTAACTAACCTGTAAGGATCTACTGATGAGTAGTGCGGTAGGATCCTTAGCTGCTACCATGAGTGCCCAGCCCGCGAGCGAGGGTAGAGTACTCAACATGTTAGTGAGTCGACGACCCAGCCTCTGCATCATGAACGGTGCCACCAAGATACCGCTGATGAGAGCCAGGCCCAGGATCGACGCTGAAAAATATATATGAGGCTGATATGAATTATATATTGAAAATAAAACAATATACCTAATATCGTTTTAGATGTTTAAATAGTATAGGTACATTAGTTAGGCTATTATTAAGAACTAATGTTATTTATATAGTAACAGATTATGCTTTATGAAAATTTTTAATTGTATAGTGACGTAACGTATAGAGACTAATACCTCAAAATAATTATAAATTAAATTTAAATTCCATGATTCTAGAATGTTCGATATATAAATCAGGGAAAACATAATTGTTGAGTGATACATAAGATTATTATTGAGTTAAATATATTTGTTCTAAAATAATAATAATATAATATACCCATGTCTGAATATCACGTATTTATTATTTCAAATGATACAATAATACTTAGTTGCGACCTTTGCGATCCTAACAACAATAATTATTATAAACACTGTTATTTTGTATAATTTACAAATCTTTCAAGCAATTTAAGAAAAAATCGGAACACTTACATACAAAAAAAGAACGAATGATTTAGTAGTCATTCGTTCTCTTTAGCTCAGCAATTTATATTTCTTTTAAAGACTGAAACGCAAATGGAAGAGTTTTTAATTCCTCTCAGTTCTATAGAATATTAAATAAATACTTTTGACTCATCATAAATAATACAAAATTAATCAGTCGAATATTATTATTAATGTATTAATCGAAGATAATAAATATTTCTATGATTTGGGACTTGAATGGAAAGGAACGGAAAATCACGATACAAAAATTTAATAACAGTTATTTAATTTAGCGTTACTTCTGTAATAATTTTTTTACCGATCCAGGACTCATGTTCCAGGGTAAGTTTCAACACTGATCCAGGTTGTCGCAGCTGTTCCAGGAGTACACCCGGGAACGCGATGTTGGCGCCCGTACCTATCATGTACATCACCACGCCGCTTACTGCTAACATCTGGAAGTATGGAGTAGGTAGTGTGGTTAATAGAATGACATTGTAGGGAGAAAAAAACACACACACACACACACACACACATATACGTACACACACGCACGCACACATTGTAAGGTGAAAAAATAAACACGTTCTGAAGAAACGTCAAGTTTATGATTACAGATAAAAATATTTTTATAAGATAAAGAAGAAAGTTCTTGACGAAGGTTATTAAATCAAAAATTAAGACAAAAAAATCTATACTAAAAAAAATGGATGTGTACCTTTCTTATAAGTGCTCAGTCATGTAAAGACTGAATGTTTTCAGTATTTTTAACTCGGTTAATGAAAACTCTTACTAATGGTATGGTTACCACAATGTATAAGGTTAATAGACTTTACTTAATTCTAATAGTATTTTATATAGATTATAATAATAAGTCAGTCTGTCCTTCCCTTTATAAATCTATAATGTTTACCTGTCTCAAGAATGGTGATAACCTTCGCTTCCGGTATCCTTTTGTTTCCGTCATGGTGATTCAATAGTTCCTCATACGACTTCTATAACCGGATATAACTGAAATATTAATCATAATAAAAGTTTTGTTGAAAAAAATAGCGTCAAAATGTACAAATGACTTAAAATTATTCTCATTAAAGTCATTAATAAAAATTCGTTTACATCTTCTTTTTAACTAAATATTTTCAATAATTTTTATATTGTATATAGTAGAAGTAAGATTCGATACCTCCTACGTAAGTTGTTGTATCTCCAAAACTTATAAATTTACAGTAGAACGTCTCAAAGATTCAAATTAAACTAAAATCTGTAAAATTTGAAAGTTACAACATTAAGTATGCGTCTGACAAATCCTTTAAAAATAGTTTTTTGTTATTTTTTTACTTTGAATGGATATAATGATCCATAATAGGGTATTTTTCAGAACAAAAGCAAAATACCATTTTTGTGGCTTACAACAACTTACGTGGTTGATGTCACCAATTGATAGATTAAAAAATAAAAATCAGTGAATCTTGTAATAAATTACGTATTAATAAAAAATATTTTTACTTCAATAATTGTAGTCATTATTTATTTTTATATACGAACATATCATTCGCCATGCCTTATAAATATCTTAAATATCCACGAAGTTTTAGTAGTATTGGTTTCCAAGTCTTATCAGCACAGTAAATAATTACTGATAAGGTAAAGCGGAAAAAATAATTAACTCAATCTTTCTTTTTATTATTTTTTATGATTTTATTTTAGTTTTTACGGTTTTTCATCAAAATTTATATAAACTATAGCAACTTGAATTATATATTTATTTAAATTAAACTTGTTTGTATATTACATTTTTTTGGTTCGTCTATCGCATGTCGCATTACAACGGTTTGAATAGAAGGAGCTTGGGGTGTTTGGGTTGAAGGTGGAATATAATGAAAATTGTACACAGTGGATATTATCGGATCATATGTGAATGAAAGTGGATATTTTTATATACACTTGTAAATATGGAGGTATTTGAGGTTAAGAAATTATATTCAATTTAGACAAAATTATTTCCATGTGTTTGTAGAACATCAGGTGACGAACAAGTTATACCTCAAGTTAGTTGTAAAGTTGGGCTATTCATATTTTGATAAGTTTTTAAATAAAGAAATATTGTATCAAATAGTTTTTCAAAAAAAAATTCACGATTTATGGTAGGTTAGCAACGGCGGTTTTTAAAATATAGTATTTTTTTTATTAAAATAGCTCCAAAGCATTACATACTTGTATATTCCATAAATATGTTACGTACGCGCAACATATTAAAAAATAAATAAACATCTTTGTATGGATAAAATATCATATAACGAGTGACGCTGCTGACTCTACAGAACGAACACCAAGCCGTGTGAACCAGAAGATTCCTGATACCACAACAAGCTATGGAATGGTATTGCTATCCTAACATCGGGGCAATCATATAGTCTTAGGTATAAGTTATAAGTTTTAACATGTAGTTCTTATTATGATATACATATAAGTAAGTTTCGTAGTTTTCCTGGAACCTCTGCTTGCCACCGTACGTAATTAATACAATATTTTTTCATATAACATTTATTATACAGGGTGACTGGTGAATTACTATCGATACTTGAGGACGTGATATTTGACGATCATATATGACAAAATAAAAATTAATATAACATAAATATTAATAAACTTCTAAGTAAAGTTAACCAAAAGTTATGTTATTAATTACGCATCGTGTGAACACCCTACAGATTAGGTATACACACACACACACACGCGTGCGGCGGCGTGCTGATACAACACCACACTTGGAACACTTGGAACGTGTCCACACTTTATTTATTTACTAGCTTTTGCCGCGGCTTCGTCCGCGTGGAATAGTGACTTCCGGCAGATTTTTGGTTCTTCCCACATTCCCACATAGTTCCCGTTCTTGCGGGGTTTTCGGAATGGTCGAGTTCCCGTAGAATTTTCAGGATAAAACCTATGTTTTTTTTTAAATTCACAATGAAGTACTCTTAACCAACAACATATTTATTTGTTTATTTGAATAAAGATTAATATTATTATGTTGATACAACTTAAACAAATTATTTCGACCAAATTAGGTATCATAAAAAGAGTTTTTGTGAGTTAATCTTAAAATATAGACATATACTGTCGCGGACTGTTTTTTAGATCATTAAAAGAGCTATTATTCTTTAATACATATTTTTTGTGTATCTTGAACCGTTTTCACGGCGCACGCAACGGAAGGCTTCAAATATGAAATAATTTCTCCCGTTTTTTACACATTTACCACTATATCTTTGCTCCTATTGGTCGTAGCGTGATGTTATATAGCCTACAGCCTTTCTCGATAACTGGACTATCCAACACAAAAAGAATTATTCAATTCGAACCAGTAGTTTCGGAGATTAGCGCTTTCAAACAAACAAACAAACAAACAAACTCTTCAGCTTTATAATATTAAGTATAGATACGGAAATTTGGTCAAAATCTAAGTACCTATTTTTTTTACATAATTCGAATGAGAATCATGTACCGAGTATTCTCCTTAAATATTGATAGTAATTCACCAGTTACCCTGTATAAAATAAACAATTTAAAGTTGTCAAAAGTGTTACTATATTTTTTATTATATTTTATATATTTATACATATAAATCTGGCGTCAGTCAAACGCTCATTATTTTAATGAAGTCATTATCTCATGTAATGTTCGCTCAAGGTTATCAAAACGAGACTAACATGACTAAATATTGGACAACCGCATGTATCATAAATTAAAAAGTGAACGAATCTGTCCTTCTTATAATAATAATAAAATTAATATCCCTACTAATATTATAAATGCGAAAGTAACTCTGTCTGTCTGTCTGTAACGCTTTTACGCCTAAACTACTGAACTGATTTTAATGAAATTAGGTACAGAGATGGAGTTGACCTCGGGAAAGAACATAGGATAGTTTTTATCCCAGACTTTAGAAAGGTTCTCTTGGAAACGAGATAATATAACCGAACTCCACGCGGGCGATGCTGCGTGCGGAATATCTATATAAATGTATTTGGCCTGTATATGTAGATGTTGTCTCTCCCTTTGACCGTGTTTGTCTTTGGACGTCATTTTTTTCATCGTTTTTTTGATTTTTTTTCTTTAGGTTTCATTCCGGCTTCTAATTCCGTACCGCAAGTAAAGACTAGAAGACATACATAAAATAGTATGGAGATGTATAATGAAAGAAAGATAAATGATGTTATGAAAAACACTTTATATTTTAATCAGCTTGTTCTAGAAGCTGATAAATTTTTTGTTCTGAATAAATTTAGACAAAAATGATTGTAGAGTGTAGTAGGTATAAAAATCACGTAGTACATCCGAAACTATTTGTTTTATTTAAATGTATACTCAAGAAAGTCTTAGATAATAGATATCATTGTATAGTATTTTCTTTTACTTCTAAAGATAATTTTATTTGTACATCGTCAAAATAAAGCCTTTTTTGCTACATAATTTATTTTTTATTATGTGCGAACCCAAAAGATTATTATATTATACTTTTTAAGGTCTGAGTGTGTATAACCAGGTAAAGGTCAAGGTATGACCTTCATACTATCACATATTCATTAAGATTAATAATGTACACGAAATATATTTTTTCTATATATAAGAAGTATGTAATATAAATAGCATCAAGTTCAAAAGTTTTAAGTATGCTTAACACAAGTCTGCATCGTCACTACTCACTACATACGAAGCGTTTGTCGTTACTCACTCAATAATTAACGTAAACATTAAAATGTGTGAAGACTTGTGAATGAAAGCGATGCATAGCCATGACGATGCAGACTTAAGTTGCTCAATTGGGGATCACTCTTACAGTAGCATCATCATCAGTCTATCAGAGCCCACTCCTGATCAAAGGCCTCTTTCTCACATGGAGAAGGTTGAGCATTAATCACCACGCTTGCTCAAGGCGGATTTCAAACTTAAAATTTGAAATTATAAGTACAGGTGTCCTCACGATGTTTTCTTTTATTGTCTGTCAGAAAGTCTATACGATATATATGTCTATACGATATATAGAATTATAGATATTAAAATTAAAATCTTTTGATATCTTAAAATTTTTATATATAGGTATCTAAAATTTTTATAAATTTTGATAAATGTGGTTAAAATTTTATTTATACCAGACGCAAGTCTGTGTCTTTGTATACAATATGGGTGCATTTTAGCTTGATGAAGTTATTAAAAAAAATAACCATAAACATTTAACTGGAAATATATAAAAAGTTTATATTGCTTATTATTACAATTCTTTAAAATTTGGTAATTAATCGGTTACGGAAATCCAGAGTAATTCTTTGAACTACGCGTTAGTTAATACTTTGTGCTTTGATTGCGTTAATTGAAAGCTGCAATAAAAAAAGACTTATTTACTCTGTTTTAGATATTAAAATAATAATTCAAGTACTTTTTATTTCAGGAAAAT